AATAAGTCTGTGATGGGCAAAGCAGTTTGGCTGGTCCCTCCATGCACTGCTTCTTGTATAAGCTTGCTATTACTAACAGAATTTAGTCTCTAGAATGTGGGGGGTTTTTTAAATCCTTTCACAGAAAATTTCTTTCAAAGTATTTTAACCACCTCTCGATACAGCTGCCAGGAAATGACAGCTTACCATCACTGCTGCTAACTAAAGATTAGGATGGGGGATATGGCATATTGATTCTTTGCTGTTTATTCTATTACGGAGAACAAAAATCATGAATGGTGTGGAGTGGGGGATTGATTCTTCAGTGATTATCCTGATACAGGGAACAAACTGTCAACAGCTGAAGCGGGCAGGAGCCAGGGTCAAAGTAAGCAAAAGGAGGTTCTTCAAATCACACGTGGCTGAGACGGGGAACACAGGATGCTTTGGGGGCCGAGGGCTTACATGAGTTCAAGGCTGGGCAGGGTAAGTTCACAGAAGAGAAATGCTAAATATATAGCAACCATGTCTGTCTCAGTAAGACTGATCTGCAAATGCTGGAAGATGGGAGAATCTGGGGGGAACATATCATATGAGTTTCCTCTGTTTTTCCAACTGCTGCCAGAGACAGGATCCTGAGCAAGGTGGATCTTTGTTTTGACCTGATACAGCTTTTTTATGTTCTTGTTAGGCACATCCTTTTTTGTTAATACTAACCCTATCCCACTGCTTCCTATTTTGACTTCTCTATTATCTCACCCTTCAGCTATTTCTTCTCTTTCCAACTGCCCTTAAAGATGGAAATTATTATACGTCCAGGTGGTACCTTGCACAGTTGGGGTCAGACTGGTATGATCATCGAGTGCTATCAGAATATAAGCATTACTAAGAAACACGATAGAAACATGGGGCATTGTAGGTTGTTTTCTTTTTTTTTTTCTTTTTGCTGGCCTCTGGGTTTTGTTATAATTGTCATTTGGCTTCTGTTCCCCAAATCAAATTTCTTAAACCTTTTTGTTAAGAATGTAATGGATTTTCTGAAAATGTTCACAGCAATGCAGACATCTTCTCTGTGTATAAAATTCTGAAGCATTTCCCACTGCCACATGGTGGATACCTTCAACAGTTGTGGAATATGATAGCTTTTGATAAGTTTTCAAACTGCTTCCCCCTCCCTCCCCCCTTTATATCAATGAAGATAATTGAATATATTGATACATTGGGCTTTGTTTACTGACATGTAAAAGCAAAAAACCACCAGTTGACCCAAGAGTGCTTTTGTCCATGGTAGCCTGGGGCTTGGACTAATGAATTTTTCAAGCAGAATCATCCTTGCAGGTTTACTGGGAAACTGGGATATAATTGGCTGACCTTTGGGGGCTAAATGATCACAACCACCATCTGTGCAGCACCATGATATTGAACAAGTCAGTGAAAACTACTAGCCCAAGTTGCTAGCTAAAAACCAACAGCGCTGTAGCAAGACTGTAAAACTATCCTGGGAGAAACAGAGTACACAGTAGCCTGAAAACACTGGAATTTGAACTTGAAAACACTGGGATTGAGAATCCACCATAAACAGGGTGGTTGCGTTGTTTAAGTTTGACAATGGATTTGTAGTGCAACTCTTAAAGTGGGAAAGTTTTGTCTAAATTGGATTCCTGTTGTAAATTCCCCTAGGAAAAAATAATCTCAGGATGCTAACTACTGGTGAAGAACAGACTTTTTATTTTTCCAGGACACCTGTGGTTTTGAGAACATCCATATCTAAAAGATATTCTTCAAAATAAAATGCCCAAAAGATGATAATTAGCACTATATTTTTTCTATACTTGCATGAGCTGAGATATAAGCCTTTGGAAGCAAGTGTTTTGTTAGAAAAAATCATGGGTGAATAAGGTTTCTATATGGATGCCAGGATAAAAAAGAATTTGGAAAAGTATACATTCATGTACAAATAAGGGCTGCTTCCTAGTTCCCAGAAGTAACTATGGGATTTAAAAATCCTTCTCCATAGACCTGCATGCCAGCTTGATGACAGATTGTTTGGATTTCAAACACTCAGAGTAGCCAAAATGCCCCAAAAGAAAAAAATCACTGGTATTTCAGATTTGGATAATCCCATTAACTAACCTCTTTTCCCAGCTGGGTAAATTTTATTTGTAAGAATTGTAGAGAAAGTCATAATCTCCACTTCTGAAATACTTACAGAAGCTCACATGGGTACATTGCCCACTTTTCCTCAGAGGTGGAGTATGCAGGGTGCGTGACGACAGACACCGAATGTTAGTTGATGCAGGGAACGTACTGCTCTGAGCACTCCATTCCTCTAATGCAAAATGTCTGTTTAATTGAATTGCTTATGTGACTGTATTTTGGTACCGGTTATTTTCAGTAATGAAGTGAAATGCTCAGTTTGTGTAGAACACAGGTAAAGTTGAAACTAAAGTCTGTCTTCTCGTTTGAAATAGGGGGCTCCTACAATACAGCTGCCAAGAGAGAAAGTTTGCCTCGGGCCCCTTCTTTGTAAAGGTTCAGGAGGGGCTGACCCATTGCAATCCCAGACAGTATATAGAGGAATATATCACATTCCCTTTGTCCTAAGTCCCCGAGAAACGCTACTAGCTCCAGCTTTGGATGGGTGTGCTGGAAATTTCTTGCCTTATTGAACTCAGCACAGCCCTTAGTATGTGCTCACAGGGCACTCAGCTTGTGTACGATGCACTGAACTCGTAAGAGGAGTGAGAGCACTTAGGAGGAAGTGACAGCATCCTTTTTCTTATCCTTAATACTACTGCAGGTTTCTGAAACAACCTCCTATCTTCTCCTTGTGGCCAGGGTAACGGCTCGGTGTGAAGGCATCTCTCAGGGGATTTTTGCCTCCCAGATGCCTCTTCCAATATGTGAGGAGATGGCTCGCTTTCTGCGCTCACCGCAACTGCTTCCTCCCAGGTAAATTATCTATTAAAACCATGGTCATAGATTATTCCACGGTGTGGCAAGTCTATGGTTAGTGTGGGTTGCTGGGATTTTTTGTTTGCTTTTGTATTAGAAAACTGTATGGGATCATAAGCAGCATATCTTTCAGCCTTGCTTTCAGAGGACCCTTTCTTCCTTCCTAACTCTGCTGTTAAAAATTCGCTTTGAGCTGATGCGTGGCACTTGAAAGCTGAGCCTGAGGATTTATTTTTCTATACGTGATTTTTGGAAAATTGGCCGTCAAAAAAATGTGGCTGTGAACCTTTGTGAGATTTTTTTTCTGCGTGCTTGGGGGCTGGTGGTTGTGAAGGAGGTGTGTAGCCATGCGTATGTGCCCAATAGCCCTGCCTTATTAAATTCTGAACAGATTGCTCAGGTTCAGGCAGTTTGTCAGGAATAGGCATAGGCAAAGACCCTGAAAATACTGATTTTCTACAAATGTCATGAAAATAGGTGGCCAGCCAGCTGAGGCAGATCCTACAAAAGCCCACCCTGCTCTGAGGTGGGCTCACTGCTGATTAGACATCAGTGAGCCCATCCATGCAGGTGTGCCTCCTCAGAGCATAAATCCCTAAGAGACTGGACATTCTTGATTCCGCTGCTTATGGAGCTGCCTGTTTTTAATGTGTGCTTTTTGAGAAGTCTGTAAGAGAATTGTGATGTCTTTCTTTCCCTTCTCTGAATAAGCTGAAAGATCAGGCAGCAGCATTTTGTATCTGGTCCTTTTGTAGTAAAGACAGTTATCGGTCATATGCAACCGTTATGCTCCTACTGGCGTTTATATGACACCCCTGAAATGTCTTTCTGAGCCCTTAAACAGGTTTGTTGTAGCAGTAATATCAATCTAGCTAGAGTATTTCTGGTTGCATCCCATTGTATCCATTGGGTTTCGGCACCCTGGTCATTTGAGAGGACTGAGGAAGAATAAGCCATCAAGGTTTGGAATTATTTTACTTCTCTGTGTGGAAGAAGGGCTCGGGTTAGCAGAAAATCAGTCAAATTCTTTTTGGGGAATGATACAAATTTGGAATAAAAAAAAGATCGCTTGCAGACTCTGTAAACTCATCTTGCACATTTCTCAGTGCTGTTGACATTAATTGGGAAAAGCGAATCTGTAGCTCTTATCAACTCAATGGGTCTTCAGTTTTGCCATCGTGTTTCTAGACGGAGAGAAACACTGAAAGTGACCAAAACAATATTTCCTTAACATAGCAAACGAGATGTTGTTGATGGCAGAAGTAGGGGCCGCAGCCTGGACCTGCGATGACACCGGTTTCCCCCTCGGTGAGAGAAGGGTGTCCCCAAGCTGCCGCAAAACGCGTGAGGCGAGGGGCATCGCCGCCGCCCGGGGGGAGCCCCCAGCTCGCTGCCTGCCTCTGGGGGTCGTGAGGGGTCCTGCGGGCTCACGCCTGCGTGGAGCCTTATCTCCGGCTTAGCAGCTCCAGCCCGGGGGTGACGAGGGGAAAGCCCGGGCTGGCGGGGGGAGGGTGGCCTTCCTC